TAGTCCCCCCACCCGTACCCCTCACAAACTCCTAGAGACCAAAAATACTGCTATCCTCAACTACATAAAGCTCGAGAGTAGCAAAACTTGTAAAAACGAAGTGTACAAAAGGAACCGTCCATATAATACATTTGCACCCTGTATACAAATTATCACCCTTTGAAACTGGTCCACGGTCAGGTATGGCAGAGTATCAATAATAGAAAAAGAACCCCAACATCCATCACACACACTTGAGCAATGGTTTGCATGGTTTTCCAAAGAGAGATATTTTCATTTACAGTTACAGTACTTGCTGACAATCTTTATGATTAAGAAGCCAGTTGAATCCCCTGGCATTGAGGCAAGTAACATCTGATTGTCACAACATACAATTCTGAGACAATAAATACAAGTAGATCAGATGCATTTCTTCATTGGATCAAGTAATTCCAGTTTAATACAATTTAGTGCATTTCAGTATCTCATTCACAGTTTGACTTCTGTCCAAATACTTTCTCAACAAAAAGTTAAGAAACTGAAAAGTTTATAGGAAAAGAAAACTCCAGGTAAACTTGTCATTACAAAGCTTAAAATTTTAAAGCAATTCAGTTGTCTTTGAAAAGAATAAGCGGCTGCTGCCGGTTGACTGTGTCAACTTCTCTGGTAATTTCCTAGGCTCCCGAAAAGGGTTCTCGTCCTTTATTTCCCAAGTGGACTATGAGAATGCCGCCGTTTCCACTGTATTAGCTACGGCAAATGCTTGTGGTAAAATAATTCATGTGTGTCCACCCCTCAATCAAGCAAAACTAAGCGTGACATCTTCGATCCAAACACTGTCCCTATGTTTTTGCGTCCTGGCCCTGATCTGCAAGAACATGGGACTCGAATGTCCGCACGCACCCTGGCAGCCCCACTCGGGGTTTGGGACAAAGCCAGGGCGAGCCAGTGGTGTGGCTGGCCCCACAGCCCACGCCCAGGCGCTCGGAGAGGCTAGAGAAGGGGGCAGAGATGAAGGCCAGGGCCGTGCTGCCTCCAGAGAGAAGGCAGGTCGGCGTGTCAGGCCCACTGTTTTAACCCTAAGCCTGGTTACACTGCAGAAAGGTTAGAAGCCACATCACACCATTGAACGCTAAGCATCGCATGCCTGGGAAGCATGCAGCTGTTGGTGAGAAATTCGCAGCATGAGTTTACGCACACGGTTGAACAATTCCGCTGAACGTCAGTCAGGCTGAGAAGATTCTATTGGGCTTGTCCTATAGGTGTCTTGGGCAGAGACGAAGCAACATGCAGAGAGTTACTTACTCCTCACCCCCCATCTGATACACATCGGCAGTCACATGGGCGTGGAGGACCTAGAGAGCTCCTGAGTTGCACGTGAGCACATGCACCGCGTTTTCTTCAGTGCTCTTTAACTGAGTGAGTGTCAGGGAAGGTTCTCATGCCACAGAGGGGAAGGAACAGGGACAGACAAGACAGATTCAAAACTGATCAATGATCCGATCTGTTTTATACAAGAAAGTGCTGCTTACATTGTCTTCTGCTATTATTTAGTGGTTCGTATAGCCAGAGCTCATCTCTTCAGCTAGTCTGTGCTTCTTGAGGACAGAGACCATAATAAGGCCATGCATCTAGTACGCCGTCGCCAAGTACCCGATGACCAGTGTCACTTCTTTCTCCGACTTAAAACTCTTATCAATGGGTAGCCATTGCAAACCCTCCTCCAGGTTTCAGTTTGGAGAAAAAGAGGGCGTACAGAAACAGTGTTCACAGATCTACAACACGCTTTCCCTCTGACCCGCTAAGCCTTTCCCCAGCGTCTGCTCACGTGCATGCAGTGGGGACAGTCACTGCTTACAATGCTATCAGAAAGACCCCAAAGAGGGAAGCCAGACCGTCTCTAGGTGCTGGTAGCTGCCACAAGTCACCAGGAACTGCCACAAGCACCCTAGAAGACCCTGGAACTTCCCAGAGGGGGGCAAAAGAACTGTGGCCTTCTCCCGAGCTGGACACATAGGGAAGGCCCACAACCCAAACTCCACTCACTGGGCCGGGCTAGAATACACGCGTGGAAGATGACAAAAGTCTCGGCACCAGAGGCCTGAGAGCAGGGCCTGGGCCTGTGCTGAGAAACATGCCAGCCAGCTGCCTCCAGGCTCTGAGCTCAGCCTGCTGGGCACTCATGGGAGGGGCCCAGGGCCCTCTCTCTGTGTGTTTTCAGCAGGGGTGGGTGGCTCTGGATGTGCACTGCAAGCAACAGAGCAGGCCCCAGCAGAGGGTCAGCAAACACCTCTCCCCAGCAGAGAGGGTCAGCAAACACCTCGCCCCAGCAGGGAGGGTCAGCAACCACCACCCCCAGCAGAGAGGGTCAGCAAACACCTCCCCCAGCAGGGAGGGTCAGCAAACACCACCCCCAGCAGCAGCGAGGGTCAGCAAACACCACCCCCAGCAGGAGCGAGGGTCAGCAAACACCACCCCCAGCAGCAG